TTATTTAATTTATTATAATATTAATTCAATTAAATAATAGATATTGTCATACATATGCATCAATTATATATATTTAAAGTGTTTATGTCCAAAGTTGATTGGACCTAGGGCATAACACTTACAATTTATACATTTGGTCAGCCAAGAGTAGGAGATGAAAATTTTGGAGAATTCTTGAACGAACAATTAAGAAAATACAACATTGATTATTACAGGCTCGTTTACAGTTTTGATTTGGTTCCTAGATTGCCTTACGAAGATTCCACCTTCTTGTTCAAGCATTTGGGCACTTGCATTTACTATAATAGCTTCTACCAAGGAAAAGTAAGTTTCTATTCTTTCTCGACTACTTATCTCTCGACCTTATTTCGTCGCAATTATATTATTTTATACATGTTTATCAAGTCATCCTAGAATTACACTGTCACATATATAATAGTCATATCTTCAAAAATCTTTTCATTGATGATTAGTTAAGAATCTTTTTCTGTAATTTTTACACAGATTGTAGCTGAAGAGCCAGACAAGAATTATTTCTCTCTTAGATGGCTTATACCGAAGATCATAAATGCCCTCTGGGAGCTAATAAGAAGCTTTATTATTCCATATATAGGAGGAGCAGACTACGAAGAAGGTGGTTTTCTTCAATTACTTAGGGTGATCGGCTTGTTAACTGCAGGATTACCAGCTCATTGTCCCCAAGATTATGTTAATGCTACTAGGTTGGGACCATTGGATGTTTATCTTAATTAACTTTCCTGGCTCGATCGATTTAATGAAACCATGAACTGAATGGAAATTGTTTTGTTCATTAGAAATTAAGCTAGAAGAGATTAGTGAATATTGGTACTCTAATATAGTTATTTGTCTTTGAATCTTGAAGAAAAAATATGATAATTTTGTAATAAAACATATTGATGTCAAAATATCAATATCAATTTTTATATAACTATCTTCCATCCTTCCATGTTAAGAATTGTTAATTTCTTTGGTAAAATTCATGCTTAAATTACATTCTAACAACATTTTACGTACTAAAATCGGATAGAGTTTTGATTTACTAGAACTATATGAAGGAGAAATGTAGAAAATGATTCTTTAATAGAGGCAAAAGTTCGAATTTTTCTACTACAATAATAAATTCCCACACGAGTGTTAACGCACCCTAACACTCTTCTCACAAGATACAATCACATTACGCAATATGAGAACTTCAAATTATAAAAACCAGCTAACTTACTAATATTTTTATGGGAAAAAATCACGTATACTGGCAATAAAAATAAAAATTCCAAATATATTACAAATTTGAATAAATATATAAAATAATGTGTAATACAGATGAATACATTTATACTTTCTCCAAGAATTACTCACATAAGACTATTGTGACTGATACTTTGCCCTTGTTTAATACACTCTTTAAAAATACATCCTTTTTAAATTCATTTTTAACAACACGTTCTTCAATAAAATAATATTTTTCATCACATCAATATTTTTCCTTACTTTTTAACCACATATTCCTTATCATATTACTATTTAAAATACATTATTTACTCAATAATATCCTTCAAACACACAACTTGCACATATTCTTTTTCCAAAAAATTGTATTTCAAAAATCTCAATCCAAAACGGCCAAACAACACATCGGTGGAGAAGTAATTAAACTGGGTTCCTCTATTCGTCTCCTCAAACAACTTTGGGTAATGCTTGTTGTAAGAACATCGACCTCACAAGCTCCATTATCGACAGCAACATCAATCAAAAATCTTCCTCAGCAGCATTCCCAAACTCAGCAAATGTACACAGAGATATCTTTTGAGGGATGAAGAATCATCACCGACTTATTTTGAAGATTTCAGATTTTGCTAACTTCTTATATTATCTAGGAATTTCCTTAATCCATAAGCAATTATTGCAAGAAGAATCTGGAGAATTTTGGGATGCAGCCACCACCATTCTAGGGCCTTCCAAGAGGATATCTTATAATCAATTCATTAAATTATGTAGAATTTTAAATTCAACAATATGGTATCAAAGCTAGGCGGTCGGGGACATATTTTTGAGCTTCAAGTGTTCGTGCGCAAAAGGAGATTGTGAAACGTTTGTAAAGCTTGCTTGATTATGAAGAAGTAAATCAAGTCACGATGAGCAACCTACAAACAATAGGCAGAGTAAAGAAGCTTAATAATCAGAACTACACCACATGATAAACTTGCATGGAGTTGTATCTCCAAGGGCAAGACTTGTAGGAATTAGTTGGAGGAAGTGATGTGATGCCACCAGAGTAGGTCGGAGTTCCAAAGAAATGAAAAATTAAAATGGGTAAGGCTATGTTCGTTATAAAGACAACAATAGAGGAAGAATTGTTGGAGTATATAGAGATAATACTACACCAAAGGAAGCATGGGACACTCTAGCCACACTATTTTCAAAGAAAAATGACTTGAAGTTGCAAATGTTGGAAAACGAGTTGCTTTCGATTACTCAAGGAGAACAAATGGTAAGTTAATATTTTAATAAAGTTAAATCTTTTTGTTGCAAAATTTCAGACTTAGGTTCTTCAAGCAAGATTTCGAAGTCTAGAATGAGAAGAATAATTATACATGGTCTGAGACCCGAATTTAGAAGATTCATTGCTGGCATACAAGGTTAGCCGAGTAACCTTCATTGGTCATTCTCGAAAATTTGCTAGCCGACCAAGAAGTGTTAACCAAACAAATGTTAGGGATCTCAATAANTTAACCAAACAAATGTTAGGGATCTCAATAAAGAAAGAAGAAGAAGAAGAAGAATATAGTTATAAAAGAAGAGGTTGACCCCGTCAACAAAATAGTAAAGAATTTATAGAAGGTAAATCTAAAGGATTGGTTGAAGAAAGTTACCAGACAAGGGAAGTTCAACAAAATAAAAGAGGCCAAGGATATCAACGAACTAATGGCTTGTGCTTTGTATGTGGAAAACAAGGTCACTATGCTAGAGATTGTTGGTTTAAAAAGGAACCGGCGGAAGGGAATATAGCAACCTCCAAAAGGAAGAAAATTACAATAGTGAAGAAAAATGTGATGCTGAAGCATCCACAACAACAATTGAGCAAGCTCGAGGAAAGAAAATCAATTCAAGTTTAAAGGACGAATTAGCGTTAATAGTGGTCCTTCCTGAACAATTGGATTGCAAAGATGATTGGATCGATGAATCATGAAAGGATATCATGGTTAATGAAGAGTCTTCTTGGTGGACTTCGCAGAGGGAGGAACTACCGGAGTTAGAAAAATGTTTGAAGAAGCACATTCTTAGCAGACACAATAGAAGGTGGAACTATTAGATTCAAAAGAAATGGAAGACAATTTGCAAGAGGAGATCACTGAAGCACAACGAAGAGCTATGGGATCTAAAGATTTATAGGTTCAAATGTTAGAGTAGAGATTACAAGAGCAACACAGATTCCTAAGCAAAATGTCGTAGATCACGAAACACTAGTTGAGGATCAACATAATCTACAAGAAGAGATTGATGTACATGAAAGTTCACAATCACAAATAAGAAATTTGAGTACACATGAGAAATCAAAAATCAAGAATATTAACCTAGAAATAAACAAAGAGAAAAGCATGAAAGAGCTAGACATATTTAAAGGAACGGATGTATTGAATGAAAGAACCGAGAATTTCAAAATTCGTCTAGGTAAAGTTGAACGTGACGAAAAAGAAAAGAGTCAAAATAATAAGTCGATGTTGAAGGCGAGAACTGAAGAATCATCACCGAGATTTGAGATTTTGTTAACTTCTTATATTATCTAGAAATTTACTTAATCCATAAGCAATTGTTACAAAAAGAATCTGGAGAATTTTGGAATGCAGCCACCACCATTCTAGGACCTTTCAAGAGGATATCTTATGATCAATTTATTAAACTATCTAGAATTTTGTTGAACCTTCTTCCACTAACATAGTCTAGTATAAATATGGTTTAGTTGTGTGTATTGTGAGAAAGTGCAGATAGAAGCGAAGAAAGAGATAAAATAAATTGAGTGCTTCTTTCTTAAATAATTTTTCAAGTGGTTAGTCTTTAGTGTTTGTTCAAAATTGTGTATTTCATCAATAAAATTCTATTTTCTTTTAGGGTTTTAAACTCAACAATGGAAATCAAAAACCACTCGATGCTTCACAAGTAGCAGTAATCAGGCACCGTGTTCTACCATGATGGTTGGCTCACCTACAACCTCATCCATCTCAAAAGGACCAAGTAGAAGCCCAAGAGTACGAGTGCTTCCACAAGCTGCAAAACGGGATAGGCTTCTTTATTGTCAACACAATCTGTCAAAATAAGAGATCTATATTTAGATACGAGTTTTTAAATGGGGGACATAATGCGTATCTATGATAAATAATTTCAATTGATATATTCAATGCATATTAAGCAAACTTGAACAAAAGATGGTATTCGTTGGATGTTCAGTTCAGATCAAAAGGGCAATTGGAGGGACTATTGTAATTGACTTCCTCAAATATTTAAATTATTTTCACAAACTGATTTTTATGTTATTTGAATCAAAAGTTCATTCCACATAAACAATTTATATTAATTATTTTTTATATTCTTACAACTTATAATATTATTTTTATAGCACCTATGAAGCATTTTAGAATATCATGCAATGCACGTTCAACTATGACTAGAGTTATTAAATACTTGGTAGCCTAGATTAGATTTTGAAGTAAGAATTCTGTGAACATGCATATAAGATTTTTAATATGGATCAGAGAGCAATTCTTGCCTCGTACTAGAGCCAAAATTGACTAATCCAAAGGAGAATTATGTTGTAAATTGATCGCAAAATAATGACAATAATGAAATAAACAAGAACACCAAAATTTATGTGGAAACCCAAGATGGAAAAAAACCACATGCCAAGAAGGAGAAATTCACTATAATCAATTGTGTTTACAATATCAAGATCTCAATACCCTCAATTGAAATATAAGTTTAATATTTCTCAAGATGTTGAATATAATGTAGAAATACAACAATACACACACACACACACACACACACACACACACACATACATGAGCCTTTTTTTGGAGTTTTAGATGAAGAAGAATACGTAAAATTTGTAACTCGTCACGGTGGCACCTCGGCACCGGGGTTGACGCTATGATGCCCGGAGCAAATTTTGTAACAGGGACACTGACGCCGCGGCGCTTCGAAGCCGGGCCTTTGTCTCCATCCAGTTGTACAGGAGTTATGGCGCAGCAACCTTGGCGACGCGTTACCCACTTTCGGTAAATAATACCTCCAATGTTTTTCTTCATCTCAAAGTTTTTTTCCAAGCCAAACTCTCAATCCTTGATGAAATTTGATCTTTATCAATTAGGACTAACAAACCAAAATTCCATAAATTTCCTTTTTACAACTAAACACCAAATTAAAAGGAATTTAGGTTACACTACAACAAATCTCCACTTTGAACCAAATTTTAACACAAAGAATTCAAAAAACACATCTCCAAGTAAATACTACTCTAACTTTTCCAAACAAGTCTCTGTGGACTAAATCAATGACGAACACCAACTAAGTTCAAGTAATGCTCAAACTTATCAATGGAAAGTGACTTTGTCATCATATCAGTAGGATTATTCTTGGTATCAACATTCCTCACTACAATATCACCATTAGCAATCACATCACACACAAAATGATACATCACATTAATGTGCTTAGTTCTCTCATGAAATATCTGATGCTTATTCAAAAAAATGGCACTCTCACTATCACAATACACTGTAGAAAACTGTAAGTCTTCACTGATTTCACCAATCAATCTTCTTAACCACATAGCCTCCTTACATGCCTCTGTAATGGCTATGTACTCTGCCTCTATTGTAGACAAAGATACTGCATTCTACAAAGTAGATTTCCAGTTAATGGTAGAGCCTTCAAGAGTAAACACATACCTATAAGTAATCTTCTCTTATCAAGATTCCCTACATAATCTAAATCTACATATCTAGTGACTCCATCCGTATTTCTACCAAAATGCAAGTAAGCATTAGAATAGCCCCTCAAGTATCTGAATATCCACGGCATTGCTATTCAATGTTTCTTGTCAAGATTTCTCATGTATCTACTAACTAGTTGCATGTGCTACATTTGGTCTTGTAAAAATCATAGCATATATAAATGAACCAACTGCACTGGAATAAGGAACTCGAGTTATAATCAATGTCTTTATCTTACTAAGGACATATGACAAATGATAATTTAAAGTGGACAGCTAAGGGAGTACTGACAGCCTATGCATTTAGCATATTAAACATTTAAAACACCTTCTCAATGTACCACTTCTAAGTCAAATACAATTTGCAGCCAAGTCAAATACAATCTTCCTATCTCTCAAAATTTACATTCCAAGATTCTTCTTTCCTACACCCAAGTCTATCATCTCAAACTCCTCACAAAGCTGATCTTTCACTTTTTTCACCTCTGTTTTATCCGTAGTTGCTATAACATATAACAACAAATATGTAATTGATCTACAATTTCCTTTTCTGAAGTAGAACAACTATCATAACTGCTTTTAATGAAATTATAAGTAGTCATGAATGAATCGAACATTTTATACCACTGTTTCGGTGCCTATTTCGGTCCATACAAAGACTTATTTAACAATCACGCATAGTTTTCCTTTCCAGAAACTATAAAACTCTCTAGTTGTGACACGTAAATGCTCTCTTCAAGTTCTCCATGCAAGAATGATGTCGGCAACCATCTGCTCAAACTCCAAGTTATTCTTAACCACAATCCCAAGTAAAGTTTTAATTGAGCTATTTTTTATTACCGGCAAGGATACATCTGCTAAGTCAACACCTGAAATTTGACTGTAGCCTTTTGCTACCAATTTGGCCTTATACCTTGCATCTTCAATCCCTGATGTTATTTCCTTCCTTTTCAATACTCACTTGCAGCGAACAACCTTTTTATTCTTAGGCAATTTCACCAAGTACCAAGTATTATTTTTATTCAATGACATTATCTCATCCTATTTAGCAATCAATCATCTGTTAGAATCACTGTAACTGATTGCCTCTAAATATGTAGCAGGCTCCTCAGTGGAATCAATACTTTCGGCCATACTCAATGCATAAGCTATCAAATCTGCTTCTCCATACTTCTCTAGAGGTCTAATATGTCTACGAGGTCTATTTTATCAGAATCTCCATAAGGTGAACCATAAACCATAGCAAGTTCATTAAATACCACATCTCTACTAATCAGCATATTTCTTATCTTAGGACACCACAATTTATATCACTTCAAACGTAATTTATACCTAAGAAAAATACACTTTCTAAACCTTGGCTCCAACTTCTCATTATCCACATGAGCATAAGCATGATACCCAAAAAATTTTAAATCAGAAGAACGAGAAGGTTTACCAGATCATACCTCTTCTGGTGTCTTTTTCTCAATGACAACTGAAGGTGAGTGAATAATCAGAAAATAAACTGTATTACCAGCTTTAGCCTAAAATGTTTTAGGCAACCTAGAATTTGAAAACATACAACTAACATTTTCCATTAAAGCTCTATTCATCCATTCTACCACGCCATTTTGTTGAAGAGTTCTAGGCATTGTCAAATGTCTCAAGATGTCTTCAGCCCTACAAAAGCTATCGAATTCATTTGAACGAAACTTCAACCCATTATCCGTGCATAAACGTTTCACCTACTTTCCAGTATGTCTTTCTATGATTATTTTCCCCTCCTTGTAGGTCCCAATCACTTCGCTCTTTTGTTTCAAAAAAATACCACCTCCTTTAGAAGGCACCATAGTCAATCCCCAAATATCTAAATGGATATACTCAAGTGTTCCCTTCGCGTTGTCTTCCTTTAGATAATTTGTCCCTTTTTCTATTTCTCATAAACACAATGACCACAAAACTTTATCTTACTCGTCTTCTGCCCATCAAGAAATCCTTTCATACTTAACTCTGTCATATCATTCTCACTTATATGCCCAAGCCGCATTAAGCCAATGTTTTGTAATTTTCTCATGTCAAGAAAGAAGTAAAAACTATTGCATCCCCTATAACTATGGAATTTTGCAAAATGTATAACTGTATAGAGTTTTTATGTCCCTTCATGAAAACAAGAATACCCCAAATCACCTTCAAAACTCCACATTCACCAGTATATCTATAGCCCTTTGACTCAAGTACACTTAAAGATATGAGATTTTTCTTCAGCTTTGGAACGCGCCTTACGCTTGTAAATGTTCTAATAGTCCCATCGAACATTCTATACCAACTACGCAAATTTACAAGGCACGCTGTTTTCCATTATCACTACACCTCTCAAAACGTTTTCATATGTTGTAAACCAATCCCTGTTGGGACACATATGGAAAGTATATGCCGAATCTAGAACACATTCCACACAAGATTTGGAATTGATGTCAAAAATCACTAGAAGCTCTCTTTCACTTTACCCATCTTCAACAACATCAGTTTCAATTGTATTTACTGGTTGCTTTTCTTTAACAATAGCACCAACGGCCTTGTTTTTGTTTTTCAAAGCATAGCAATCAGCTGTAATATACCCATTCTTCTTACAAAAATGACATGTTTTCTCTGCATATCTGGATTTCAATGTCCCTCATATTTCTACCAAGATTCCTATCATAATTTCTTCCACGAACAATTAGGCATTCAGGCTGACTCCCAGATTCTCCTGCAAGATGCCTCTTTTTTTTTTAGATAATAAAGCATCATGACCTCCTCTACAGTGAGAGCATCCTGATTTTGGAGAATAGTATCTCTAAATTCACATGTGATGGTGGCAACGAACACAACAAAATCATTGCCAAGTCTTCGTCATCATACTTACTTCCAATGTCTCCAAATCGGCCGCAATCTCTTTAACCATAGATAAGTGATCATCCAATGACATACCTTCGAACATTCGGTGAAAGTACAAGTACTATTTCAAGTGTAACTTGTTGGTTAAACTCTTTATCATACAAAGTTGCTCCAACTTTAAGCACAATGCAGCGTCACTTTTATCCTTTAGAACATCCTAAAGAATTTGATTAGATAGATGTAGATGAATTTGAGATTGGGCTTTTCGATTCCTACACTGTCTTTAATCCTTTGTCCAGGTTGAAAGTATCTTATCAAAGCCAAACAAGGCTTCCTCCAAATCCATATGCGCGAGAACCGCTTGCATCTTCACTTGCCATAAAGTAAATCTCGTGTTTCGATCAAATAACGGAACATCATATTTCATCGTCGCCATGCGAAAAATCAACATTGCTCTGATACCAGTTTCCTATAAATTGATTACAAAATAATGACAATAATGAAATAAACAAGAACACCAAGATTTATGTGGAAACCCGAGATGAGAAAAAACGACAAGAAGAGAATGAGAAATTCATTATAATAAATAGTAATTGTGTTTACAATACTCTCAACTGAAATATAAGCTCTCTAATTCTCAAGATGTTGAATGTAATGTAATGATACAACAATGTGGAATATATAAGTGCTTTTTTTTTTTTATAATTTTAGATGAAGAAGAAAACATAAAATCTGAAAGCATGGGGATTAACACGTCATAGTGGCGCCTCGTCGCCACGTCCATTGCACCCAAGCACCGAGGGGCATCGGCGCCACGCCGCCCCATGCCCAGCACTCCGATGTCAGGCCTCTTTCTCCATCCGGTCACACGAGCTGCAGGGCCCACTTTCATTAAATAATGCCTTCAAAGTTTTTTCTTCATCTAAAAGTCATTTTTAAAGCCAAAGTCTCAATTTTTGATGAAATTTGATGTTTCTCAGTTATGACTATGAAACCAAAATTCCTTAAAATTCCTTTGTCCAACTAAACAACAAATTAAAAGGAATTTGGATCAAACCACAACAAAATAAATTTTCAAGCTTTGGGCATAAGTGATTAAGTTTTGATAACTGTAGATATGGGATAGTGCATTGATAATTTTTGGAAATTATATATTTGTCTCTTTAGCTAATTGCGTTGTGTACCACAAAATAATTAAGTTTTCCACCTAGCGTAGCTTAGATAAGTTTTAATGGGGTAGTTGGACAATTTTATTGTGCTTCTTTATCTAAGAAAAATCCTAATTAATTATTCCTTTAACTAAATTTATGAACAGTAGTAGAAAAAAATTAAATTTATAAATAGATCTACAACTATTATGTTTTTAAAAGAGGGAGTTTGATGTTTTATTGTCTATTAATGAAATAGTTTATATCGAAGTCACAATATTTTGTGTAGTGACGTTTCAAATTAGAAGTATCGATTATTTTGATTTTCGGGAAAAATAATATACCCAGACAAAACGACAACGAATTTCATATCAATTATTGGAAATGTCAATTATCGTCCAGAGTTAGACAAAAAGACAAAACAAGGAGATAAAAAATACTATGCTTCGCTTTCTATGATGGCTGCTAAAGTATCTTCCGAGAACAAGGCTTACATTGAATCTAGTCATGGACTATTGGAAGGTACATTAAAATTCTTCATTGTTTCTAACAATTTACATGCCTTTCAAAAACTTTGCGTGCTTAAATTTTGTTTCTAACGTTTTACATGATTTTCAAAAACTTTGTGTGCTTAAAAACCTTGCGCATTTAATGATGTCTATGTTGATTGACCATTAAAATATAAGATTTTTAAAACAATCATAAGATAACTGCGTTAATTTTATATGACAATTCTCAACCACTCAATGGTTATAAAATATAAGTTCCTATTTTGTTTAATTAAAAAAATGATAAAAATTTAAATTTAAAGTCGACAATTAACTTTAATCATACACCCACAATTTTTATTAACTTTTCAACTACTCATTTAATCAACTTTTATCAAAATTTATTAAAAACTTATTTTTTAGCAAAATCAAACAGAGACTTCTTGGAAAAAATTTAGAGAAAAATGAAGTGAATGACAATTATAACAACAAATTTAATACATTTCAATTCTCTAATTTTTCCAATTGAATTGCTGGTTACAAAACTCTAATGGATATTGTAAAATTTCTATGCTAATGCAAATTAATGAAAAATTGAAATCCCTTCGCATCCTAAATTTCAATTCTCTAGTACTATATAAGGATGTGTTCTCATCTTTATTTCAAACACCAAACTTTGAGAGTTACCTATCTCTCTAATTTTTTTTTCTTCTCTCTTTGCTTTCAAGAGTGTAAGTATTCTTAATTTGCCTAAAGTGGTGACGATGTGCTAGTCAACTACTTTCAACCGTTATATCCTGTGAGACAGATGTCGTCAATCCTCTTGCATCATAGTGGGGACAAATCTATTTCAAAGAAATTATGTGTAACATATGCCTTAGTTCCTTCATTTCCACCACTAAATCAAAAACCATATTTCCTCTATTTTATTATTTTCCTGTTCGATGAAATATTATTTTCCATTATTTTATATATATAACTCCAGCAGAATCTTCAATTTTCTTCTGTATTTTTCCTAACAAGATTAAATATAAAATTGTTCGTAATAATCTCACATCGTCTTTTAGCCATTGTAGAACCTTGTTAATAGTATTGTTTTCGTTTTGATGGGGCTACTATTATTTCGCGATTTATGGGCAAAAATTATTGCTTCTCCAAAATAAAAACTAAGCCTTTGATGGTTTGGCTATGGAAAGAATCCAATAACAAAAGATTAAAAAATAGAGAAGAATAAAAATATTGAGATTGTCGTACGTCTAATTCTTTCCTCTCTTTTTTCCTCTCGCGGATGGATTTTTTGGGGTCCTATGATTTTTGGAACAGTGATCATCTGACATATAACCCACGATCTTAAATCATTTTTTTATTTCATTAAATTAATTTATGCAATTATATTAAAAATTAATTTTTTTGAATTTTGGCAGATTTTAAAGAGAAAGCTACAACTAAGGTTGGGCAAAAATCAATTTGAACATGTCAAATTGATCAACCCAACCCAAACCAACCGGTTTGGATTAGTTTTTTAGTTCAATTGGGTTGGGTTCGGATTAGGAAATCAAATTTTAAGTCGAGTTGGGTTGGGTTGGGTTGGGTTCCGGGTTATCTATTAAAAACCAATCAAACCCAACCAAGTCCAACTCAACCCAAAAAATTAAAAAAATATTAATATTTGCAGAAAATTTTATCTTAATAACTAGAACAAATTGTAGACCTCGTCCTAGCAAATAAACAACAATCAAAGAAACAAAAATACAGAAAAATTAAAACAAGTAAAGAAAGAAAATGTGAAGTGTTCTCACGAAAAGTTCAACTAGTCGATTTGACCTAATAATATTTTCAATATAGTAAGAATAATACGTTTCTAATCTCGAGTCAATAATTATGAAGTACTTAAAACGTTTTTAACAAGAACAAGTCACACAGTGGAATTTACTGAAAACGTTTTTAACAAGACCAAGTCACACAGTGGAATTTTACTCCCGAATTCAATGAATTATATACTATATATATATCCCAGGACAACTTATATCTTCAAACTATCTCATCTGCCTTTTTTCTGCATTATAAAGCTATGGCTTCCGAATGCAACAAGTCTTTCTGTAGAGATTATATGCTCCTAAAGCCAGAGGAAGCTGGCTTGGTGGATGTCTTTCGCATCTTATTTTCCGATGACATCGGGAAGAGAAAATTTATCGACTGCCCAGAGGGGAAACAGCTGGCGCCATTCAAGCGTAGATTGCTGATCTTTGTTTTTATCTTGGTGCAGAAGCTTTTGCTAGCAGTAGAGAAACCCATGGAATGGTTTGGTTCTTTGGTTGAGCAATGGTTAAATCTTCTGTCGAGCAACGGCAGTTTATCGAGTCTCGTGCTCAACTTCTTACGTGGTAATTTATTTCTTTCGAGCATGTTTGGTTTAGTATACTAAACAATTTACTGAACATATGAGGCATGATAAAAATTTCTTACTGCTAACATGGCAAGAGAACCTTATGTACGGTTCTCTGCAACCTTATTTATGGGCTTATGGTTCTCTACAATCTGCCAAAGAATCATACTCATGGTTCTCTCTATTACATCAACAGTGGGAAGTTTTTATCATACCCAGGAGATCAATTCTAATATTCTTTCTTTCTTGATTATTGTCAATACTGTCTAGTACTCTGTATGAACATGTGTGTATATGTATGTTATATCTTATGCAACACTATTTTGTGCTGCGCCCCCACCTGCCCTGATGCTGCATATTTTCGAGCTCAGCATTTCCTTATTACGGAGAATAAGGTCCGGTGCCACTGTATTCATGATAAATCGTGTATAATGATCCGGATGGTGTGTGTCTGTGTGGGATTGAGGGGCATGTGGGGTTTTACTTTTCATTTTTTATTTTTTGGTGAGTCGGCGGAGATAAATACTATGGAGATGAAGAAATGAACACTCGGTGGTGAATCAATAGTGAAAACACTAAAACCCCATGTACAGAAACAATTCCACACAAGTAAACCAGAATACTCACGAATGAGTGGACTCCACCACGTATTTAAAAAATAAAGTAAAATGTGCGGGACCCACACTTGAGAGTGTTCTGGTAAATTTATGTGGAATTTCTTTCTATACATCTAGCAAAATTCAAAATTGTAGTGGACCAAACTTAGGCTAGATAATTGTTAGTTTGAAAGAAAATATGACATCTTATTTGCAATTATAGATGAGTACGAGGAGATTTTTAGGCTTCTACTTTGTTTTCAAGGAAAGCAATTATTGCCTCGTACTAGAGCCAAAATTGACATATAATCCAAAGGAGAATTGAATTTTCAAGCTTTGGGCAAAAGTGATTTAAGTTTTGATGACTGTAGATATGGGATAGTGCATTGATAATTTTTGGAAATTATATATTTGTCTCTTTAGTTGATTGCATAGTGTACCGCAAAATAATGAAGTTTTCCACCCTGGCATAGTTTAGATAAGTTTCAATGGGGTAGTTAGACAATTTTATTGTGCTTCCTTATCTAAGAAAAATCCTAATTAATTATAACTTTAACTAAATTTATGAACAGTAGTAGAAATTAAATCAATAAATAGATCTACAACTATCAATTTATGTTTTTAAATGAGGAAATTTGATGTTTATGGACAAATTTGATATCAAATTTCGTCTTTACGTAATTGAAAATTGCTTACGTGGAAAGTAAAAATGAATATTGTGTATCAGTGAAATAGTTTAAATTAAAGTAATAATATTTTGCGTAATGTCATTTCAAATTATAAGTGCCAATTATTTTGATTTTCAGGACAAGTAATATATCCGGAAAAAACCGCAAGGAGTTTCATGTCCATTGTCGGACATGTCGATAATCGTCGAGAGTTAGATGACAAGATAAAACAAGGAGATAAAAGATACTATGCTTCACTTTCTATGATGGCTGCTAAAGTATCTTACGAGAACAAGGCCTACATTGAATCTACAGTCATGGACTACTGGAAGGTACATTAGAAATTCTTCATTGTTTCTAACATTTTACATGACTTTCAAAAACTTCACGTGCTTAAATTTTGATTCTAACATTTTACATGATTTTCACATTTAGTGAAGAATATGACAAAAATTATGTTTTATAAGTTCCAAGATATAAAACAATCCCAAGATATAAGTTCCTGTTTTGTTTACTTCAAAAAATTGATAAAAAATTAAGTTTAAAGTCAACAATTAATTTTAACCATACATTTCATGAGACACAAAACTTTTATTAACTTTTCAACCACTCATTTAATTAACTTTTTTATCAAATTTTATTAAAAACTTGATTTTTAGCTAAATCAAATAGAGACTTGTTGGGGAAAAAAATATAGAAAAATGAAGTGAATGATAATTGTAACAATAAATTTAATATGTTTCAATTCTCTAATTAATTTTTCCATTAATTTAATTGGTGGTTACGAAGCTCTAATAACTATTGCAACATTTTTATGTTAATTTAGATAATTTTAGTTCTAGCTCGATGACAGAAATGTGAACATTCTAAACTCGCCTAAAGAAGGGACGAGGAGTTGGTCAACTACTTTCAACCATTGTATTATATGAGACCAACGTCATCAATCCTCTTGCACCATAGTGGGGGCAAATATGTTTTAAGTAAAATGTGTGCAGCAGAGGCATCGGTTCCTTTCAATAACGTCACTAAATCAACAATCATATTTCCTCTATTTTATTATTTCTTTGTTTGTCATTATGTTTTTTATTATTATTTTATTTATATAACTCCAACAGTATTTATAATTTTCTTTTGTATTTTCCCTAACAAGACTAAATATAAAATTGTTCGTAATAAGCTCACATTGTCTTTTAGCCATTGTAGACCCTAGTTAATAGTATTGTTTTCCTTTTTATGGGACTAAGATTATTTTGAGTTTTGTGTGCAAAAATTATTGCTTCTCCAAAATAAACTAAGGAAAAAAATCCAATAACAAAAGAATAAAAAAATAGAGAAGAATAGAAATATTAAGATCATTTTACGTCTAATTCTTTCCTCTCTTTTTTCCTCTCCACAGATGGATTTTTTGGGGTCCTACAATTTTTGGAACGGTGATCATCGGACCTATTACTTATGATCTTAAATCATTTTTTTATTTCGTGAAATTAATTTGTGCAGTTATATTAAAATTTAATTTTTTTGAATTTTGGCAGATTATCAAGGGAAAGCTACAACACAAGCGTTCATGTTCAATGACCAAAATGATAAAATCGTCATCGCTTTCAGAGGCACCGAAGCCTTCGATGCAAATGCTTGGTCTACCGACTTCGATTTCTCTTGGTATTGTTTAACAGCATCATCTAAAACTTTTAACTATTAACGAGGCAGCGTATTAATTAATTTACAACCCCTCATTTAAGCTAAATTCTATTTTATTAAAGGTTTGACACTTGTAGATTTTAAAAAATGAAGCAACGAGAGGTTAATCTAAGCATTGTCGTCTATAATACCAAATTTATAATACCAAATTCAACTACCTTATCTAAAAGTTTAAACTATTAGAATGAATATTTAAATTGGTCATCTACACAAGCTCCTGCACTCACATGCACAATTTTATTCTCATCAATGTGTTGCAAGTGCGTAATTTGCATAAATGGGTGAATAATGAAATTTATAACACATTTGGTTGTTTTAATAATATGTTGAACCAGTTTATCTAAAATCTAAAGCAGTTAGGGATGATGCACATTTATTTATTTATTTAAACTACGTCTTCAACAGGTACGATATTACAGGCCTCGGAAAGGTGCACGGTGGATTTATGAAAGCTCTAGGTTTGCAGAAGAACGAGGGATGGCCTCAAGAACAGGCAGCAGATAAGAAACAAGAAGTAGCCTACTATGCCATTAGGAAGATACTGAAAACACTTCTGCAGAAAAATGAAACGGCGAAGTTTATAATTACTGGCCACAGCTTGGGTGGTGCACTGGCAATTTTATTTCCGGCAATTTTGGCGTTCCATAAGGAGACATCGTTGCTAGAAAGATTAGAGGGGATATATACGTTTGGTCAGCCAAGAGTAGGAGATGAAAATTTTGGAGAATTCTTGAACGAACAATTAAGAAAATACAACATTAATTATTACAGGCTTGTTTACAGTTTTGATTTGGTTCCTAGATTGCCTTTCAATGATTCCACCTTCATGTTCAAGCATTTGGGCACTTGCATTTACTATAATAGCTTCTACCAAGGAAAAGTAAGTTTCTATTCTTTCTCGATTACTCATCTCATTATATTATTTTATACCTGTTTATCAAGTCATCCTAGAACAATTACATATATAATAGTTATATCTTCGAAATTCTTTTCATTGTTTATTAAGTTAAGAATCTTTTTCTGCATTTTTTACACAGATTGTGGCTGAAGAGCCAGACAAGAATTATTTCTCTCTTAGATGGCTTATACTGAAGATCATAAATGCCCTCTGGGAGCTAATAAGAAGCTTTATTATTCCATATATAGGAGGAGCAGACTACAAAGAAGGTGGTTTTCTTCGATTACTTAGGGTGATCGGCTTGTTAACTGCAGGATTACCTGCTCATTGTCCCCAAGATTATGTTAATGCTACTAGATTGGGACCATTGGATGTTTATCTTAATTAACTTTCCTGGCTCGATCAATTTAATGAAACCATGAACTGAATGGAAATTGTTTTTTCCATTAGAAATTAAGCTAGAAGAGATTGGAGAATATTGGTACTCTAATATAGTTATTTGTCTTTGAATCTTGAAGAAAAAATATGATAATTTTGTAATAAAACATATTGATGTCGAAAAATCAATATCAATTTTTATATAAATATCTTCCATCCTTCCATGTTAAGAATTGTTAATTTCTTTGAAAATTCGTGCTTAAATTACATTCTAACAACATTTTACGTTCTAAAATCGGATCGGATAGAGTTTTGATGTACTAGAACTAAATATATGAAGGAGAAATGGAGAAAATGATTCTTTAATAGAGGCAAGAGTTCGAATTTTTCTCCTACAATAATAAATTCCCGTACGAGTGTTAACGCACCTCGACACTCTTCTCACAAGATACAGTCACTTTACGCAATATGAGAACTTCAAATTATAAAAACCAGCTAACTTCACTACAACAAAATGTACTGCATACCGTAAAAACCTCTTTACGGCATGCGGCCGCA